ATCAGACTTTGATAGTAACAGTTTTTTTTTTTTTTAAGTAACCAAAATTTGATGTAGTGATGTGTGGCGGAACGGGCCCGCGTCAGCTGGCAGACCCCGCTCTGCCCACCCCTCCTTTGCCTGACCTGGCACCTGAAGGGGCAGGTTTTCACCACTGCCTCCGGGTATTGCTGCCACCACTGTCCCTGTCTTGGGCTCTTGTTAGGCGAGACAGCCTCCTAACCTCCCTCTGCTGTTGCTAGGAACCCACCTCGGGGCTTCCTGGTAATCTTCGGGGATCCCCTGGAGAGTTGGCAACTGACCATTTTGCCCTTGTTCTCCTCCTCAGGGAGTCCCCAACCCACTCTTAGCGTGTCCAAGCGGCTAGGGGAACTATGTGGTACAGAGGGACTCCTCAGGGTCAACAGTAAAATAATTTATTTTGAAAACACTCAACTATATACAGGCATATTAACAGTGAACTGAAGTATCAAAATAAAGGTGGATAATAAATCGCTCCCTCTCTCCCTTCACTACACATACCCTGTCTAGATGGTCTACAGGGCAGGCACATGACTTGCTTTCAATGGAGAAAGTTAGATTAGCACAACTCCCAACATGGCCTCTGCCTCCTGCAGTCTCCAGCCGACAGCCTGACTGGCTCCAGACTTCAGGCAGACTGCCCTCAATTCTCACAGACTGGCTTCCAGCCCAAAAGCTCCACTATATCAAACAGCCCTTCCCGCCCAGGAAGTTCCTCTCCCTCCTGCAGCATTCTGGGGCAGATCTCCTCACAGCCTTGATGGACTTCCTGTCCTCTCTAGGGAGCTGCCCTCTGACTACTGGTTGGAGACAGGAGGGGGGGGGAATGAGGAGGAGACTAGGCCAAGGCCTACCTCAGGTTTGATAGTCCCCTCCTATCTGGCCCACACCAACTTAAACATAGGTATAAAATGGCGTTTCTCCACATTTGTGTTACCTTCGTGGATGTTCTTCTCTGTGTGTTTTATCCTCTGCTTTATATGGGTGTTCTTCTCTGTGTGTATGTGAGAGAACTTTGAGGATAAATGCTTGGCTTCCTCTTGTCCCCACTGGTCCTTTTCTGTGTGTGTGTGTATGTGAGTGTGCGTTATCCCTTCTTAGACTTCTGTAGGTATGTGTGTTTATATTTCTCATTCCGCCTTCTGCTTGTATGTTGATGTGTGGTTGGCTCCACCTCCTGTAACAGCCATTTTGTGTGGACCCCTGTCTCAAAAATCCAAAGGTGCCCACAGGCTCAAACAGGGGACCCCTGAACTCAAGAAATTACAAAATTCATGGGCACCACTCAAAATTCTGCTATCTTAAATAACAGCTACCCTTTGTCCCCTCCTGTTCCCAAATCTCCATCTAGAAGTCTAGCTCTCAGCTTTAAACTGGAGCATCATTTGTGCTTGGATGGGAGGAGGCAACAGGATGGCTCTGGGTGATTGGACGGAGCATTGGCTCTCAGCAGCCAGGTAATGGTAACTCTTAAGCAGCTTTCTGCAGCCCCACTCCAAGGGGGGGGGGGAATAAGAATAGTATCATCAGTAGGCAGAAAAAATGTAGAAAAACAGGTGCAAGGTGAAAAAATATTTAGTGCTTGTAGATCCCTATGCATTTTGCAATTTGCTTCATCAGGGGATCATTTCCAAAGTTATTCACTTTCCACCTTGAGCAGTAAGATAACTGAGACTAAGGTTGGCTGTATTTTATAACCAAGCCCCTCTTACTCTCTTTTATTGAAAGACATTGGCTCTTGAAGCATCCTTCAAGATACTGTTTTGATTGCCTAGCAACAGCCACTGAGTGCATTCATTTCTTAAAGCTATATATGATTTTTTCTATTTGGGGGGGATTAAGCCCCCTAGCAAGAGGAAGAGTGGCATGGTATGGGCTGATCAGATCTGAGATGCTAAGGTCAGTACTTGGCAGCAGGGGGTTAAAGAGAATGGTTTGATGGCTGCTGTGCCAAGATTGGCAACAATCGTTCCCCAGGAGCCCCATCGTAAATGCACCAAACAATTCCTCAAGATTTTCCAAAACACTACTCTGTTTTGGGCTCCTAGGGAACTTTGAAGTAGCACCAAAGCTTTAAGATCTCTCCAGCTGTCACCTGGAGACTGGCAACAGCTTGTCTGGAGTGTGGGCAGTATGGCATTGTATCTGTCTGAGGTCCCCCTCTTCCACCTCCTCCTCAGATTCCACCCTCAGCAGGCTTCATCCCTTAAATATCCTGGAAGTTTCCAACCTGGAGTTGGCAACCCTATCTGCCTGTCTGTCTTAAGTTTTACACCCCCCCCCCACAGCCTCTGCCTAGGGAGCAGCTGACATCATTCTCCTCTCCCAACTGAAAATTCCAACTGCCTTGCGGGGGGGGGGGGTGTCTTAGGGGGTGGGGGGTGAGTCTGAGGTGTGGAATGGAGTGTAGTCCACTCAGCTTCCATATGTAAATGACCTTGGAACGCTGGGCGGGACTGCACAAAGCAGCCAATGAACCCAGCCAGTGTCTTCCGAGTGGCAGTTTTTTCGGCCTAACACTAAAGGAGTGCATTTTAGAATTCTGGCACCCAAAACCCTTTTATAATATAGGAGAGATATTCAAACTGAGAAGATTTGATGACTTCAATAGAAATTCCAGTTAGGTGTAGTAAGCATGTTAGCTGTGCAGCCTGATTGTGTTTAGTTAGAAGCAAGCCACACTGCATTTTTAGAATATCATTGTCATTTGCACAGGTACTTTACATAAAGCCACTGAGAGTATTTTACCATGAGTGTCAGAAACTCAAAAATGCCCACCTGGCCCTGCCTGCTTTCTAAAAACACTTGGCAGGTACCAGGAAAAGTGCTGGCAGGTATCATGGTACCCACAGGCACTACACTGGGGACTTGCATCAGTCTTCCCCAGCACTGCTACCAGAGCATCTATAAAGCCAGACATAGAGCCTTTCCAGTTATAAAGTCAGTTATAAGACTGTTCCAATCCAAACCTCAGCCTCACTTCCACTCACCAATTCAAATTAATGGGATACTTCCATCATAATGCCCCTATATAAATCAATGCTGCGACCTCATTTGGAATACTATGTGCAGTTCTGGTCACCACACCTTACAAAGGATATTATAGCATTGGAAAAGCAGAAAAGGGCAACTCGAATGATTAAAGGGTTGGAACACTTTCCCTATGAGGAAAGGTTAAAGCGCTTAGGGCTCCTTAGCTTGGAGAAACGACGACTGAGGGGAGACATGATTGAGGTTTATAAGATTATGCATGGGATAGAGCAGGTAGAGAAAGAGGTACTTTTCTCCCTTTCTCACAATACAAGAACTTGTGGGCACTCAATGAAATTGCCAAGTGGTCGGGATAGAACGGATAAAAGGAAATACTTCTTCACCCAGAGTGATTAACACGTGGAATTCACTGCCACAGGAAGTGGTGGCGGTTACAAGCATGGACGGCTTCAAAAGGGAATTACATAAGCATATGGAGCAGAGGTCCATCAGTGGCTATTAGCCACAAGGTACAGATAGGGGCTCTGGGGCAAGTGATGCTCTGTCTTCTTGGTGCTTGGGGGGGGTGTCAACAGTGGGAGGGCTTCTAATGTCCTGGCCCCACTAGTGGACCTCCTGATGGCACCTGGTATTTCTGGCCACTGTGTGATACAGAGTGTTGGACTGGATGGGCCTTTGGCCTGATCCAACATTGGCCTCTCTTATGTTCTTATGTTATTTCATGACCAGGAATACTCTATTCTATTCTATAACAAGGCCTCATGTGATGCACTTAATGCACTAGATTGCCGATACAGACACATTTGTGAATAAAAGGGTCCTAAGTAGACACCTCATGTTTCCTGATCTTAATATGAAGAAAACCCTTAGAAAGATTCTCCACATTTAAGCAATGCACTTTGCACCATTCAGCAATCCTACTTAGTTTGCCCAATAATTTAAAATGGCAAAAGCATGCCATTCCTATTATGAGGCATATACTTTTCATCCTGCCAAATATAAAAACTTCCCTTGTTAACAACTTTCAGCCAATGCTCCCTCTAAGCTGTGGAGTCTTGTGAGCAAAAATTATACTTTTTGAGCTACTGGTATTAGAGTAAGCGATTTTGCTACTGCATAAATTAGTTTGCTCTCGAGCCATCCTTCCTGAACTAAGACAAAAATGTGTGAGCTGGAGGCTAAAAAACTGTAAGCTAGCTCACACTAACTCATCTTAGAGGGAACACTGCTTAAAGCATCCCTGGATTGTGAGGTACCCACTTCCTACCCATCTGACACACTGGCACCAACTTCCAGAGTGGCCAAGTTCGTGAACCCTACTGAAACATAACAAAACATCTCCCCAACAGCTTCGATAAAGTAGAAGGCTGCTGTATCAGTTCAGAGCTCTGGTTCCATCACTGTGTGGTTCTGCCACACAGTAAAGTGCCTCAAATTATTGGGCCATCACTCAGCAGCAGCACACAGAGACTAACAGGTCTGCAAATTCTATGCTTCTGATGAACTTTAGTAAACTTGGGATGGGGGAGTGTTAAGTGAGTGGCTTATTGTACAATAATAATTGTCCCATATTTTGCAATATTGTGCTATTGCACAATAATCCTTCAGCATATGAGCTTTCTCTTACAAGAAGAAAGAAAGAAAGAAAGAAAGAAAGAAAGAAAGAAAGAAAGAAAGAAAGAAAGAAAGAAAGAAAGAAAGAAAGAAAGAAACCCTCTTACAGTGCAATCCTGTGCAAAGTTTCTCCCATTGATTTCAAGGAGCTTAGAGTGGACCGCATGAGAGAATAATGTTCATGGAGAATAACTAAAGGTAAACAAACTAAAAGTGCCATCTTATGCAAACTACTCTTAAGCTTTCTTTTCGCACTAATAGGTAGTATAGGCAGCTGGGGTATCTACACAAGGACAAGGTCTTTGTGCAAGATACAGATTGCTCTCTCCATTATTTCAAAAATAAGGCACTGAGAAATCAGTTTGTATTTAAAGTCATATAAAAAATTCTTCATCCTCTTCCTTTTCATTCCCATGGCTGGCTCTTGATGGCCTTAGTCGAGAACCTGACTGCATCTCTACTGATCCTTTATTCTTTATTTTGGTAATATGTAATGATGGATGGTTTCTGTCCATCTGTCCATCCAAGCTGATTGTGGAGCCAGCACCAGGGCATGAACAACATAACTCCTGGGGTGGTGGAAGACCATCTTGCAGGTCCCTTGAGAATCGGCTTAATGGAGACCAATCACATTCAGAAGGTTCCACTCTGTAGCCCGTGTCAACATTAGTTTCTTCTTCTTCCCTGCAACACTGGAGTTCACAGCTGGGAAGTCTTAACTGAGTGTTCAGGTTCATGTAAGAAGGCAGAGAAGAATCTGTGCGACAACATGATTGGGATGAAGGGCTGGAGTGGCTTTGTGAGGGACTGCAAAGGCTTCCTGGAGCACACACCCCACTCCGTGTAGATTTGTTTTTATTCTTCACAGCTCGAAGAGTTCGACTTTTTTGCTGCACAGCTATTCTTCTCACAGCTAATGGGGAGGGGTTGGAGTAATGGGGGAGCCCTTCCTCGCCCACATTATTAAGCCAGCTGGGAAGTGAATCCTGCTTTCCACTGGGTTTTGAGCTGTTTTGAACCTAAGAAAGAAAAGAGAAAGGAAGTTAACAGTGCCTTGGACATCAGTAACATGATCACATCTGCACCTGATCCTGTAAGTCCATCATCTGCAAATGAATAATGCAAGGGTGTACTGAGAATTTTTAATTGATATACTTCACAGGAACGCATTCAAGCTCATGCATCATGTGAATTTTGCCAATCAATTGTATGGATTATTCAAGCAAACATAAGCAAAAGAGAATCGGGAACATTAATACATTACTATAAAACATGGCCTCAACGTTTACAGATAGCATTCAGGGAGCTCTTAGCTATTTCTCTCCAGTGTCTTGAAACTTTTCAGAGGAAGTGTTCCCTGCCTTATTAGCGTTAATCAATACTGAATTATGATGTACTGACTTCCTCCCTCAAGGAATAATCCTATTATCAACATATGAATGGAAAGATGACACAAGGGGAGCAGTATACTGACCTGCTCCAAAGTGATCCAACTATGTGTCTATGCATGGCCAAACTGAGTTATGAACATAGGTTGATATTTAATACAACATGGGTGTTTTCACAGTCTATGGATTTAGCATGACAGCACTAACCAGAAATACATGAGCCTTTCATTTAGTTGACCTGCTGTTTAAATATCTTTGGGATTCAATTTAGAGGTATCCTATTCATGCATCCCTCTGACATACAAGCTTTGCCCACACTCAAGGAGACCTGTGCAGTTTAACAAAGCTGGAAGTCATTCCTACTTTGTTAACCATCCTTTGGTTGAGCTATGTAACAGAACTCACTATAGATGTGACAAGCAATAAACAACATTTTTTCTGTCAACACTAACTATGGCTGTAGACCAGGCTGCTTTATGTATGAAAGCATTTAGTAGTCATATATGATTTGTATATGGAGGTAAGAAAAATGTAACTGCAATTCTACCATCCATGACTGTTGACGCCCTCTTATCTGGGGAGGTCTAGTTTTACTTTAAAAGTTCTTTATGTATTGCTCTCAGGGTAATCTCGCCGCCACCAGGAAAATTTAAGGCTTTCCACACCTTTATACTAATATATTTCTTCTTCTGGGTTGGTATTGTAGCCCTGGGTCTAGGCGTCTCGAGGAACTATGTGGTCCTGAGAAAGGATTTCTTTCAGAACTTGTATCTTGAAATAAAGTATATTTATTCAAATAACTTGTAAATAATATAGTAGTACGAGGTAACTGGTACTGTGAATATTCTTAACTCTTGCTTTATGTCTCACATAAGGTCTGCTCTTTGGCTGACAAGGATCTGAGCATGTCACTCTGTAACAAATATTTCCTTATGCCATATATGGTTACTGTTTATGCTTTAACTTTCCATAACACACAAAAGTCTTCTCTCTCATCAGACTTTAAATGAACAGACTGTTTAACTCCTTTACTACATAGAACCAAATCTTTCCCACACAGGGATCGAGTCTCCCTCACTCAGAGACCGCACTCAACTTAACTCTCTCTCATACCATACTTTTTCAGACTGCCTAACTGTCTTCATCAACTGTCATACCTAACAGTCACACCTCAAAGACCTTCAAATCATCCACACAGCATCCATTCCAAAACCCCTCCCCCTCTCTGTCACTCACCAATCACACAACTTGCCTATTTCAGCATTCTAGTTTGTCCCACACAGCCATGCCAACCAACTTTTAAACACACACACACACAGTAAAACATGGAATTGTTACAATGACCAAGACCAAACAAGCAACAATGATGACTACTTTCTCACCACCTTGGACCTCTCTTGTTTCTGGAGATTCAGTAGTCTATAAGGCCATAGTGGTTACTAGCCTGATGGTTCACACATACTACATCAGTCATTAATAACATCATTTTGTAAAGCATCCTTTTGGACACTACTGGCCACTGGTAGCTGCATGGCTCTTTTTAGCACCCGTTAAAGAGTTTATTTGGCTTCTAATAGTTGGGATTAAGTACTATGAAGAAGCGAAAAAATAAATTTTAGTAGTTATACTTCAATAAATGAATACTTGGAAGGTAGACAGAGCCACAGTTGAACTAGATCCATCCATCAGTGGTTATTACATGACAACTAAATAAAATGTCCATGCTCAGAGAGCACAACAGATGATAAATGAAGTACCTCAGAGTGTCAGCTGCTTAGGGAAGGGGGTGGATAACGGCATGGGAAATCTACTGGCTATAGGCTGTTCTTTTTTTTTTAGGTTCTTTTTAAAATTTTATTATTATTAAAAAGGATAACACTATAACAGTTCATTCAAACATGTCGGAAGAACCAGCTGATACATTGAATAAATATCCAAAGCAAAAACTTTAAAACACAACCTAACCCAAACAAATTGCGTAACAATAAACCTTAATCACCGTCTTTCCATTTGTATGCTAATGAATGACGTGAGGAGCCCCGACTACTCAAGTGGTGATCGAACTAAAGTATTGTGTCCTACTAGCCTAAACCAGTGTAAGATCAAAAACGTATCCAAGGAATATAAGCAGCCTTAGACGGAATTATGTTCTTCTCTGACATATACTGAAGCACTCTGAACCACACTGCGACAAATCGTTCATGGGCCTTTGACGTATCTACTAATGTAGTTAGAGTGACCTGCGTCAGTTTCTCTAAAATGAATATGTCCCAAATTTTCTCATACCATGTTTGTATCAGGGGAGGAGCACTATCTTTCCATCCAGCCGCTATAGTTAGACATGCAGCAGCCAAAAGTTTAGATATCAGGTCCTTCTGAGCCCTAGTAGCCGTCACTATAGGCTGTTCTTGAAGGCATCTGGTTGGCCACTATGGAAAACAGAATGCTTGTAGCAGAAAGAATCTCAGCCTTTACTGGATGTCATCTTAAACTTGTTAAAATGATCCAACTCCATTCTGACAAAAGGCCAAATGCCTTCTCAGAAAAATGTGTACATGAATATAGCATTCTCTTCACATTTGACATTCTCAGACAAAACCATCAAAGCCCTTTCTAGTTTACATTATATGCTGGTTGCGGAAGTGTTTCCTGGAAGAGTTCTCTTTCCTACCAGACAATCCTTAGGCAGGAATAGTCAATACCATGTCTCCATCAAATTGATGGCCATTTGCAGGCACTTTGCTTGAATTACCTTCCTTTCCATTACTCCTTGTTATTAACTCCTTTCTCTCATTAGATAAAAGGGCATGCATGTCAGATATTCCAAGGTCCTAATTAGTCACATAAATGTAAAAGAAATATTTGAATAAAAGACAGCATATATTTATAAATAATAATCTCAATAAGGGTTAGCAACAATACCCACCAGTCTATGTAACATTTTTTGTAACACTAGTTACACATACCCACTCTAATCCTACCATTTGATTTCCATTTTAATGAATGGAAGCTGCAGGGGGAACACTCACCCACTGATTTTGGCCCCTGTTTAGACACAGAATAATACCTGAAGCAGGATCTTGTTTCCTTCGTAGTCTTCCGTTTGCCATCTTGTGCTGCTGATAGGAACACAGGGATTAGGCAGAAGTGGGACCAGCTGCCCAATTTCATGCACCTTGAACTGCAACACTGAAGATTCCTTCAAGTCGACTGACAGCCCAAGAGGCAGCTGCTTCAGGCAAAGCTGAACTGCAATGCTCTTTGTTGCATACAGTACAAAGGCACAGAAACTGCTTTTCTGCACAGTCGCTTCTTTCTGCAGGATCATCTCATAAAGCCTCACTGCGTCGTCATAGTTGTCAAAGCTACAGTAGAGCGTGATGCGCAAGATTTCAGTGCCATAATGAACTTGTCGCACTCCCCACACTGGCATGTGCTCATCCAGCCCGTAGAACTCCTGACTACCAAAAGCCTGCCAGGACAGCTTCCCATTAGCACTTTCCAGGTTGACACGGTGCCATGGTGGCTGCTGGAAAAAGTCGTGGACTTGGAAAATCCGTTCCTCCCCCGAGTCTTCGTGCAAGAAAAGCAGAACAGACGTTCCAGGGAACCTGGAGCTCTTTTGGCGGTATGTCTCGTAATACTTCACTGGAGAAGTGACTTCTGAGACAAGGAAAAGGCGTACATCAAGGCAGATCCACTCCTGAAGCTGACTGAGGGTTTGCTGCAAGAGTAATGCATAACCAGATTTGGCGAGCAGGTGCACAGTCATCACCAAAGAGTCTGCTCTTCCATCCATTGTATAATGACCTTCAAAACACAAAGTAATGACAACATTGCATCTTCAGTGCTCATACTGTAGAAAGGGCAATCACACTCAAAGCCAATTAAAGACAGAAATTAGAACTTGCAATTCCCAGTCAAATCCCATTTAAGCGCTTCTGTGAACTCTACAAACCTCAATACAACACTAACACAAAAGATTAATCTTCTTTTTATTACCTGCAAATTGACTTTACAGTTGCACATGAAACTCAGGGGTAAGGCAAGCAGGGAAAGCTTCCCCATCTCCTGAGTCCCCAGGCTGACCTTCAGTTATATTGAACAGCATCTCACATTTCCATATCCCAGGAACTCCCTGAAAATTTTCTTCCAAAGTATTATATTACAAAATCAGGGGTGAGAGGAAAAGCAATAATTGCCAAGAGATTTGATTTTCTAAGAATCTATATCTTCAAACAGGATAGAGAATTACCAGCTGAAAACCAGCAGATCCTGGGTAACAGCACAACTTGCTGGACAACGACGCCATCTCTGTGAAAAACGCATTGTGATGCTTGTGTTTTATTTAAAGGCTCAGCATTGTTTTGTTCTTTCAGCCTGCACACCAAATGTTTCAGCTTTACAAAGCTTGCAATTTTTTTTTGAGACAACACCCTTCTGGGCTGTGCAGATAAACCATTCCTTTAAAGGCAGAAAGGAAATACGACAATTGAAAGGAAGCCGATGTGAGCACTGCAGATAGCCGATATCCATCTCCAAGAAGTAATCTCAGGAAAGCCATGACTTCAGGGGAAATGGTTTTTTGAATGCCAGGTTTACACATTGCTATTCTATTTTAGTGTGGAAGGAAGGGTCCCACATCTGGTTCTGTGTCGGTTACCCCAGAGGCTTCATTTCCGCCCTGCAATCACAAGCCAATATTTGTGTATGTTCGGGCTCATCTTCTAGAAATGCTTGCTAGTTGGTTGTCTACCTATTCCATACATTTGGGATCCATCCTGGCAGTGGAAGACAGTGAAACACACTATTTAATGGGCTTGTGCATTCCTTTAGTGATTAATTACAATAATTACATAAATGGTTGTTTTGTAATTATCATAATTAGTATGAAAATGAAACAAATTCCCTCTCTATGCAGCCTATAATTAAAAAAACATGATTTGCTTTTGTTTTGATGTTTTCCTGTAATTCATTCTTTCATTATTGCACTTGCCTATCTGACTCTACTGGTTTCATTTCTACAAGACAGCTAGTGTTTTCCTAAGGAGGGCACAACTTGAGAGACACTCTGGCCTTTCTTGACTGACTGCAACCTGAAGCCACTAGGGGTTACATACATGGGTCCTGAAGGATATGGGGTAGGACTTTGCCCTCTGCTCTCCTCTCAATGCCTGCCTGGCTGTGCCAAATTTCTCCTTAAAGTCTGCACTCCCCTGCTTGCCTGCTGCTCTCCAAATCTTCTCCCTCATCCAAGAATATCTACCTCAAGGCCCTTCTCCAGCTTCCTGCCTGCCCAGATGTCTTGCCCTACTATGGCCACCAAATGCCCTTGCCTTGGTAATGTACCCCTTCCTCATGCTACTGCCTTTCAAGCTAAAGTGGCTGCTGTGCCAGATTCTTCCACTGAACGGTGCTGTCTGTGTTACTCTGTGTGTTTGGGGTCCTCCTATTAATTCTCCCACAGATGTTCACAGAAAAAAGGGCCCCCGTTTTGCAGCAATCTATCTGAAGTTTGGAGGTGTATGTAATATGTGAGTGTTGCAATTCCCTGCGGTTTGTCCCATTTGGATGGAAAACCATAAAGGTACACATTGGGGAAGTGGGTCTTCCATTGAAACCAATGGAAAATTAAAAAAAACAGAATATCAGAAGTAAGCAACAGTAACAAAAGAAACAATAATGAAACAACACCATATGAAACAATCCAATAACAAAACAAAAAAGTAGTAACAAAAAAGAAAGAAATTAAAAACTCCCATGCATAAGTCTACTCTTTAGAGGAACTTAAATAAGTGCACGGACTCTAAACTGAGAGAGCCAGGTTTGATTCCCCACTCCTTCACTTGCACCTGCTGGGTGACCTTGGGCAAGCCATAGTTCTGGCACAGCTGTTCTTGAAAGAGCAGTTTCTCTCAGAGCTCTCTCAGCCCCACCTACCTCACAGGGTGTCTGTTGTGGGGAGGGGAAAGGAAAGGAGTTTGTAAGCCGCTCTGAGACTCCGAGTGAAGCGCGGGATATAAATCCAATCTCTTCATCTTCTTCTTCCATGTGGGACCCACTTACCTATGAGACAATATGTAAATGACCAAACCACATAGAATGGTCCAGTCACGCAAACCAGCCGAACCAGGTAGGGGCTTAAAAGTGCTGATTTAGTTAGAAAAGCCCACATAGACAGCTCATACCCAGATGGTTGAAACTTTTCAGTGTTGCTTCTCACTCATGGGAAAAGGTGCTTTCACAGCTATGGTAACACTCCATGGGAAGTGTTACATCAGCTACAGGGGCCTTTCAGACAAGAGCAGCATACTCAGAGCTGAGTATTTGTCTCAATTTTATTGTTGCCTTCCTGGCTTTCATCCCTTAGGCCAGCTATAGCAGAGCGATACAACTGCTGTTCATTCTGCTTTTGGTTGGATAAACATTAGTACTGCATGCAAGAGGATCACACAGACAGAAGATCAATCAATACCAACAGTAACATTGTAAGCCTGGAAAGAAGGAGCCTGTAACCTATAGCCCCAGAGCCTTGATCAGCAGACCACCAAATATAACTCTTTAAAAATGAATTTAAAAAATCCTTAATGCACAAGTTGCCCAGGATGTGAAGAGAACGTCAGACAATGATTTTTATGAGACTAAAGGGCTGCTTAGAAATGCTTGAGAGACAGGGAAATGATAAAGATGAACAGATGTCAAGTAACCCATGCACAAATCTATGCCAGTGCATTAAGATAACTTTCTGACATGCCCCTGCGCATATTACTTATTGTGAAATCTCATATGCGACTAGCACCCACCAGTGTTTATACTGAAGAAACTTTTATGGATTGTCAATCAACAGACAATCATCAGTACTGCTGAGCAATGCTCCCACTAAGCTGTGGAGTCTTGTGAGCAAAAATTCTACTTTGTGAGCTACTGGTATTAAAGCTGTGAGCAAGCAATTTGGCTGCTGCATAAATTAGTTTGCTCTGGAGCCATCCTTCCTGAGCGAAGACAAAAATGTGAGAGCTGGAAGTTAAAAAAACCTGTGAGCTAGCTCACACTAACTCAGCTTAGAGGGAACACTGCAGTGCTGAGCTGTAAACTTTTAGTTTTGCAGATGGGGGCTCACACTGGCTCTTAGTTGATCTCTCATTCTGAATGTTGACAGACTTTGGCTCTTTAGTTATAAAATGCTGCTGCCTCCTGCCTTAAACAAATAAGAGAAAAAACAGCATCAGTGTTGGAGCTACTGTCAACTGGAACATATCTAAACCAATTAACCCATGCAAATGATACATGATGGCACCCTCCTCCCCAACAATGAGCACTAATCCATGGCAGCCCTTATCAAAGCGGATAAAACCAGGCAAGAGACTCTTCCCCACTCCACTGCAGAGCTTTAGAAGCCCTGTTCTCCTGTACCAAGAGATGCTTCAACATCTTAGAATCACTCTGGCTCAATGTACAAATTGCACTTCAACTGGCAAAATTCAGATTAAATCCTGTTACTGCTGTGGCCTCATTACTGCTGCTCTTTGTCTCTAAAATGGGTATGATTTGACAGGTTTGCTGCAAGGACAGAAATAAACAGTATCACAAAACTCCTTTACAAATCAAGAGAGCTATATTACAAGCAACATTTTGTTCCGTTAGGGAACTCTGGCAGCATCTTCCAAGGTAAACAAGAGTAAATGACGTGAGCATTACTTGGAAACACCGAAATTTCTTAGATACATGTAAAACAGGCTCCAGATTCCAGCAAATTCATTTCCCAAGCTCAGTGCAAAAAAGGAAACAAAAGATCATTCTACTTCCAGTTTTGCTTCGATAGCACATGCTGAAAACCAGCTCTCTGGGGGAAACTCCCAAAGGAAAAAGGAAAAGCAAAGAATAAGAAAGAAAAATCACACAATACAGCAATTATCCTATTATCAGTAATTGCCACCTGCTTCCCGTTTGCGGCACAAGCTTCCCACGTGGGAGTATGCTAATAGCCTATCTTATTGAACACTCTAATTTCCCTAAGTGTGAACCTAGTACAGCAGTTTGCCCTGTTTTCCCAGCTATTAGTCGGATGGGTTCCAGAAACAATGTCAAATGCATTTGTACACACAGTTTCATTCTTCTGGCTTTATGAACTCACACAAAGTTCTGTTCTCTCTGTGAATATTCTGTTAAAACAACACACGGTGGGATGGTGGCAGAGGAATGCCTAAAGATGTTTTTAGGCATGAGGGACTAGAGCACACTTATTGAAATGCATGGCTTTGACAGTGTTATGGCTCAAATTCAATTTCAGACATCTCCGGTTGGAAAATTGAAGGCTGCAAGGCTGGGAAATACTTGACAAGTTAAAAATACTAGGCTAGCTGTGTTGTTGGCCGTCATTCATCATGTACCCTACACAGACTACTTGTTACGTATTTTTAACTCCCACATTCATCTTGCAGTTTTAACATGTCCCTGGTCCAAAGTAAGTTTTCTCATCATTGTACAAGCACTGATCAGCATAGTCTGAAAAGGGGGACATGTTTGGGTTTTGTTTTGTTACTGATTTAGTATCCATATGTTAGTATTTTCCCCATCTGATTTTTCCAGCTACTTGTTTTAAAATGGCAAGTGTGCTACCACATCCCCAATGCAGAATTAAATATAAAATAGGTAAGGTAATACTTTCTAGGAAGTGAAAATGACAGATGGCATATAGCAAAGTTAACATTACATTAAATTATTAAAATGCCATTTAATTTCAAATGTGCTGCTTTGGAGATGTTTGTACTTTTATTTCATAGTAGTGATTATGTACTATTCAATGTTTTCTTTTGGTCAGGTGATATTTTTCTGTGTTTCTGCATCACCTGATGTTTTTTACTGCTCTGGGTTCAAGAATACCAACAAAAACTTACAATGATGAAATTATTTCACACTTTAGAATGGAAAGCTCAAGCGAGCCTTATGTGAACAGTAAGCACCCCCTGCTTCAGAACATTCCCTTGAATCTACTTCAGCCCCCATTTTCACCCCATGCCTTGGCAGCTTTTCCAACTGGTAATTTATATGGCAGCTGGCATTGTGTGATTCCGTCTGTTTCTCTACACTCTGCTTTAGTGATTCACTGGAGCCTTAAACACTTGGCCCGGTTTCTGACTCTAGCAATGACAACTAAACTCCTGTGGAATGGCCAGTATAATAGCTGGGAGCAGGGTCCTCAAAGAATGAAGCAGGGCAACATCTGTGTGTCTACAGTACTTAGCATAATATAATCCAATGACCCAATGGAACTTCAGGGACATCTCTAGAGTAAAATGGAAAAATGTTATCACCATCATGT